AAAAAACAGTCGCCATCACCTTTCCCACCAATAAAACCATCTTCGCTTTCTTCAAAGCAGGTTTATCCTTCGCAGTCCACTGTTTTGATTGTTCTTTCGTTTCAGGAGTGAAGTGGTGGACCCAAGTTTCATCAATCATTATTAATCGACGCAAAAAATCCGACTCGGTTCGCATAAACCGCTCCAACAGGGCCTTAGAAATGTTCATTTGAATGCGTTTTTTATCCAGAGTGAGCAAGCGCGGCATCCAACGCGCGATTAACTTATGCATGCCTAATTCTTCAGTCAATATATGACAAACACGTTCTTTTGATATGCCAACAGCCTCTGCTATTTCCCTAACCTTAATTCGACGGTTGTCCATTATCATTTGATGAATTTCTTCGATGTTATCGGTGGTGGTCACAGTTGTTAGCCGTCCCGAACGCTCATCATCAGCTAAGCTGGTACGACCACGTTTAAATTCAGCTACCCATCTTTTCCCGGTGGCAAATGATGGGGCACAGTCCCCGTAAACAGCGTCCAACTCGACTTTAATTTGCATAGACGTATTGCCTTTCAAATGCAAGAATTTAATTATAGCACGATATTCAATTTTTTCCATTTTTACAAAATGACGACACAAATGATTGTCAAACAAGAACTGAACGTCCAAAGTGGCTACATTGTCACAAATATCTTTCGTAAGTATCACGATTATAATACCAGAATGGCTTTGACAAGTAACGCCATCTTCATGATGAGGTTCAAAACTTTTCAGATGACCCTCGTATAAATATGCACTTGTCCATTTCGCAAAAAAGCAACTCTTTTTCTTACATTATAATCACTTTTTACTTTCTGGAAATAAAAAAACATTTCATTTCCTCTTGAATAACTCCATTTCATACAAGGAAATATAAGCAACTCCAAATTATCTTGAAAGTATTCAAAACTATTGGGTCGATGTTTTTCAACTTCCATTATCGTTCTTTATCAAAAGCTAAAAAGTAATAAAATATATTATTTTCATATGAATATATTGGGTCCATTATTGTCAATTTCCATTATTTATTTATTTTTATTTTTTTTCCATTATTTTCAGGATGACAAGTATCCTAACCTGTAGTCTCGAACTTTAACGCTTAATAACTCGGTTCACAAGTTGTTGTGAACCGCCGCATTTTTCTTACAGATTCTTTCGTTTTGAATGAAAACGCGACGAATGAGTATATTTTTATTAAGATTTTAGAAGGGCAAGCTACTTACTTTTTAGGATACACGTATTTAATACGTATATGTATACACAGTCGCAAGTATACTGCACACATATAAATATTCAATATGGCGATGGAATGTTGTAAGTTATTCCGTTCGGCGGATATAGCAGTACACGGAACATTTTTCGTGACCAACTTTTTTCTCCATGTCCTATCTAGTTAAAGCCCATGGCACATACAAAAACGTAAGGCCGTAATACGTAAGCAGTAAAGAAATCGTAATGCGTGGTCTACAATGGGTAGTAGTAGTAGCGGATGAAGCAGTAAGACGTCGCAGTAAGCTGGTTTTTCGGTATTATAGGGTGTAGAGTAAATCCGTAAGCGAAATGAAATCCATTTCTTACGTCTACTCTCTTACTCTCAACCAATGAGAACTCAGCATTCAGTAGTAAAGAAAACGCGCGCAAGAAGCTAGTGCTGTTTTTGCATGCTATAACCTAAATTTCGAGTATGGCAGACATGGAGTTTCACGATAGTTCTGGGCGTGATTTTGAAATAAGGATTAACCGAGAATTAATTGCCGTGGTCCGGTGCAATCGGTTTTTGTATGATAAGACCGAAAAATTATATGCCAACGCCAATGTGAAAACCGAAGCATGGAGACAAATCGGTGCAAGTCTCTAAGTCATTGTAGACACTCAGACGTAAAGAGACCCTAATCCTACAGCCTACTTCTAATGTCTACTTCTTAATCCACTACTGCTACTGCCCATTGTAGACCACGCAT